AATCTCATCCAAAGCTTGCATACAGAATCAAGTTCATCAAGGATTGATCAAGATCCAAGTCTCAAAAGCCTCAAATCATCAATCTCCATAGCTGTTTGCAAGATTTTACACAAGGTAAGTTTTCATTCAAACTGCTTGATCCAGTTAGTTAGACCTGATTTTGTTAGTGTAGAATTGATCTAGGTGGTTAGGAGAGTAAGCTAGATGATTTTGGAACGATTTGGTGATGGTTAGTGACAGGTGCCATAAACTGTTTGTGTTCGAATCTCTTGGATTAATGTGTTATAATTGTGGCTTGATTGATCAAATTAATCTCCATTAGTTGTAGTTCAATTTAGGCTAAGTTTGGGGAAGATTGGTGATGGTCCACATCAGTGCATTTCAATGGAGGCCGGATGTTGATCCAATCGTGTTTGTTGTTGTGGTGAGTTTCAAGACGAATTGATGCCCTAAGCTTGTAGAGGGAGAGATTTGGAGCAGATTTCATGTTTATGGCGTGAGGATTCATGGCGTGTAGGAGGAGAACAGAGAGGTAGAATGTAGGTCGTGCATGGCTGTCATGGTGAAGAGAAACCCTAAGTTTCAGGCCAATTGAAGAAGATGAAATCGTGGCCCTTCGTTTGGAGTTGGACTTTTGACTGTAAGCGCGATCCAATGGTTGTCATTTAATCTGAGCGTTTGGAGGGAAGAACTTTGGCTCTAAACGCACCGTTTCATTAATTGAAACGGGCGGGCCTGAGTCTCTTTTGTTATCCCCACCCCCAGCAACCAAGCCCAAACCAATTGCAACGTGTTTCTGATGCTATTTTCACCCCCTGCTGGTTTTTCTTTTATTTCAATAATTCTGATTGATGCTGGGCCTTATCCATTTTGCTAACAACACCCTACCCTGTCTGGCCCATACAATAATGAACTGAGCGCGCCTACTGAATGCACCCCTCTCCCTCATTTAATTCATTTTATTTTCTTAATTCATTTTATTTTTACCATTTTCATAAAATCATAAATAATTCATAAAAAATGCTTTTTAATCCATTCTTTTTACCATATTTTCATTAAAATGTCTAGAATATTATAGGAAAATAAATTTTCATTTTTAGTTTTATTTCATATTTTTTTCATATTTTCTAAATAAATAGCATATTAAATAGATTCATTCCATGCATTATTTTTATGATTTTTGTTCTCTCACATGCTTTAATATTTTTTGATCATTCTTTTCATATTGTTTAGATGAGGCATTAGACTTGTAGAAATATTTTAGTTCCCATTTTTAGAGGCTAATTTTAGGTGATTAATAAATGCTTGAATATCATGAACAAAACTAGGGTTTTAGGTGACAACTTAGGAGTTTGATTTCATTTCCCTTAGGACTTAGGGTTTGAATAAATTAGTTATGGGACTATAGGGGCTATGGGTAGCTATTAGATCCCTTAGAAAGATTAGGATTCCCCTACTGATTATTACTGTCTGTATATCTGTTGTTTGGTGTGGTGTGCCCTCTGGGGTTTATTGATTGTTTGTATGGGTATTGGGTTTATCTGGGGCCCTGAGGAAGCTGAAGATTTGTGAAGATGAAGCCATTGGAGATTCAAAGATTGAAGATCAACTGTCAGAGTTGAGGAGGAGTTTCTTGCTGGCAGATGCTGAGGAGACTAGGGTTTAGGAGCTAGGCAGAGCTCTAGATTAGAATGATTGTTTCTCAAACATGGATTGCCTTGTCTGCATCCATTCTTCTCTATGATTCAGAGTCTCTCTAAGACACTCACCCCCTTCCTTTGGAAGGCTTGGTGATTGTGTCTATGAGATATAACTCTTGAGAGAAAATGTCTCTTTGTGTTAGAAGCAGTTTGTTCACCACCCTTGGTAGTCAACTGATTGCTTAACACCCAATTCACTCTTGTGACTAATCCCTCATCCTGGAGGTTTGAGCTTGAAGAAAAGCCATTGTAGATGGAAGACTGATGATCAAAGCCCTTGTCTGAAGGCCATGAAGATGGAGATTGATGCTTGTTGAAGCCTGTAGCTGATTGGGGATTACTTGAAGCCAGTTGTTGATTCAAAGTTGCTGAAGCTGTTTGTTTTATGGCTGTATTTCATTTGCTGATGTATTGACTGGTTTTCTGAACTGTATTGTTTGCTGTTTACCCTGTTGGGTTGAAAGTGAAGCCTGTTCACTTTCGCCTATTGTTTTCTAGGTTCGAGGTTGAGTGGGACTCCCTTGCCTCGCTTGTAATGTTGCATCCATGCATTTTACTGTTTTACTGTATATATCTGATATTGTTTCTGTTTCTGCCTATCCCGTAGGATCTCTGTTTCTCTCTGTGCAAGAGAGGAGCATGATAGACACTAGGTCTTAACCCATGCATGATAACATTAGGTTAGTTTGTTTCCCTTCGCAACCGTAGGTTAGAGTTCTGTCTCTTTCTTTCTCAAAACAAACAGAAAAGCACATAAAGATTTCAAACACAATAAAAGACACTTCTTCCGTAAAAGAATGTAAACTCATCAAAACGTCATTTTTGTCCGCTGGGACTGTTAATCAGAAAACCCTTTTTCAGAAGGAATAAAATCAATCAAGGCAGACTTGTGTCGTACGTGGCCCGAACTACGTTTGCTCTGATCTTCCATGCTGTGTGGAAGTACGTAGGCATAGGATGCGATATCCTAGCGAGCAACCTTCCCCTCCTTTCCCATAGGTAGGCGAACTACGTCGACTCTGATTTCTCGTTCCAGACGGGAATACGTAGGCATAAAGTGCGATACTTTGCCGAGTCATTTTTATTTTCATTTTATTTTCTTTTTAAACCCTGACCTATAGTTTAGATAGAATAACAATCCATACCCGAAAACAAGCGTGGATCCCGTCGAGTACGACGGACGTGAGGGGTGCTAATACCTTCCCCTTGCGTAACCGACTCCCGAACCCAGGTTTTGGTTGCGATGACCATACCTTTCCCGTGTTGTGCGAGGTTTACTCTGAGCGTTTCCTTTCCCTCTCGTGGGATAAATAACGCACGGTGGCGACTCTTCTGTTCAGCCGGCGCCGATTTTCGCAGTAGCGACAAGCTGCCACCAAAATTCTTAGGATTGACATCCGAAGAGATAGAAAACAGTCAAAGTTATGCTTATCTCAAGAGACATACTTACGGAAGGTTCTCGACAAATTTGATATGTCGAATTCAAAGTCTGTTGTGACTCCGATAAATCCTCAGTTTAAGCTTAGTACTACTCAAAGTCCAAGTAATGAATCTGATGGAATCTATATGAGTAGAATTCCATATCCTAGTGTGGTAGGTTCTTTGATGTATGCTATGGTCTATACGAGACCAGACATAGTGTATGAAGTGAGCCTTATAAGCAGGTATATGGTCAATCCTGGAAAGACACACTGACAAGCTTTAAAGTGGATTCTTAGGTACATAAATGGGTCTCTGAGTCGAGTCCTGATTTATGGAGGTGCCTGTGGTGATGATAGAAAATTCAAAATCAAAGGATTTGTCGACTCTGATTATGCAGGTTGTATGGATTCTAAAAAGTCTATTTTTGAATATGTGTTCACTATGTTCGACACAACAATCAGTTGGAAAGTGATGCTTCAGAAGGTTGTTGCCTTATCAACCACTGAAGCATAATATATTTTCCTTACTGAAGCTATGAAAGAAGCATTGTGGCTTGAAGATTTTGCAAAGGAGCTGAAACTTCAAGGTCGAAGTATCACTATTAAATGTGATAGTCAAATTGCAATACACCTATCGAAGAATTCAACCTATCATGAGCAAACTAAGCACATCGATGTGAGACTGCACTTCGTCTGAGAGATAATCGAGCGTGGTGAAGTCCAAGTGTTTAAGGTTTTGACTGATGACAATGTTGCTGATATGATCTCTAAAACATTGCCAAGTTGCAAGTTTTTCCACTGTATGCAGTTGATAAAGCTGCATGATGAAAGCTAGTTGGTTCCCTGTTTGTTGAGTTAGATCTAAGGTGAAGATTTGTGAGATTTTGAATCAAACTCTACCTCTGTCGAGGGATAACTTTCATGTGTTTCGACAGGAGACAAGTATGAAGTTGAAGATGATTCACATGCTAATGTCAAAGAGTTACATATTGTAGTCGAAGTCAGTTTTAATATGTATTATCGAATTGAGTCTTGTGTTGTGGATCCAATTGTTTAGTTAGCTTGTATTATAAGTTAGCTAGTCAGTCTATAAATAGGCTAGATCGTTCAGGTTGTTGAGTGAGACCAATTGTGTTATTCATTTGTAATCATTTGTAAACCCTACATGAAAAAGTGAATAGTAAATAATTTGTCCAAATCCTTCTTATTCTTTCTTCTTTCTCTCTTTGTTCTAACCGTTTTTATTCTTCACCCAAGAATCCCGTTTCTCAATCTTTATTTGTTGAAAGATATCATTTGTGATCACAACACTGCACTTCATCATCATAACCGTTTTCACTTAAAATAAAAAAAGTTTAAAATATAAAAAAAAATCTAATTCAATTCACCTCTTAAATTACCATTTATAATTACATAATAATTTGAAGTTTGATAGTCCATCTATCGATTAAATGAACATATGTCCATAAACATCGATATCACACTCTAACTTTTAACTTTGCATCAAATTAGTCTAATATTACAAATTGATATTATGCAAAGTTTAATATTCTCTCCATTGAAACTTTTCCAATAATAAATTGAAGTATTTGGTAGTCCATCTATAGATTAAATGAACATATCACATTAACTCTTAACTTTACAATAGAGTAGTCCAAATGGTCAAGAATTAAACTGTTTTTTTATTCCATATAAAACGATCATATACGCAAGAGCTTACATCACTTCTCACAAAACCTTCAAAATAATAGTAAATTATAAAACAACTCAATTCTATTTTCTATGCTTTCAGACATTCTTGTATAAAAGCATATTAGTAATTGCAGATCTAACAAAATATATCTTCTCTTTCATCATCTATCTCAAATTCAAACATTATATGGAGAAAAAGACATGCATTGCTATGGTTCCTTCACCTGGACTAAGCCATTTGATTCCGCTTGTCGAGTTTGCTAAACTATTACTCCAACATCACAATGAATTCACTGTCACATTTCTCATTCCATCACTTTCTCCTCTCACTCCTTCCATGGAATCCATCTTGAACACTCTTCCACCAAACATGAACTTCACTGTTCTTCCACAAGTCAACATTGAAGACCTCTCACAGAATCTTGCACCTGCAACACAAATGAAACTCATAGTGAAACACTCTATTCCATTTCTGCAAGAAGCTGTAAAATCACTCATTTCAAAAACTCACCTTGTTGCTTTAGTCTTAAGCATGTTTTCAACTGATGCACATGAAGTTGCTAAGCAATTCAACCTTTCTTCTTACCTTTTCTTTGCATCAGGAGCTGTTTTATTCTCTTTCTTGCTCACTCTTCCGAAACTTGATGAATCTGCTTCATCTCAGTTCTTAGAGTCTAGTTATGAAACAGTGAATGTTCCTGGCGTTTCATTTCCTTTCCATGTCAAAGATCTTCCTGATCCGGTTCTTTACGAAAGATCAAGCCATACATACACATCATTTCTTGATGTGTGTCAAAAACTCTCATTGTTTGATGGTGTTATAATGAATACTTTCACAGATTTGGAACCAGAAATTATAAAGGTTCTTCAAGAGAGTGAGAATAAGAAACCTATTGTTTTTCCTGTTGGACCTATCATTAGGAATGAGTCAAATAGTGAAGCAAACATGTCAGTGTGTTTAAGGTGGTTGGAGAATCAGCCACCAAGTTCTGTTGTCTTTGTCTCTTTTGGAAGTGGTGGAACACTTTCTCATGAACAACTCAATGAGTTAGCTTTTGGTTTAGAATTGAGTGGACACAAATTCTTGTGGGTTGTGAGAGCTCCTAGTAAACATTCTAGTTCTGCTTATTTTAGTGGACAAAAGGATGATCCATTAGAGTATTTACCAGATGGTTTCTTGGAAAGAACAAAAGAGAATGGACTAGTGGTTCCATCATGGGCACCACAAGTTGAGATTCTTGCTCATGGTTCAGTAGGTGGTTTTTTGAGTCATTGTGGTTGGAGTTCAAGTTTGGAGAGTGTGGTTAATGGTGTACCTATGATTGCTTGGCCATTGTTTGCAGAACAGAAGATGAATGCTAAGTATCTCACTGATGTGCTTAAAGTTGCGGTGAGGCCGAAGATTGATGATGAAAGTGGGATAGTGAAAAGAGAGGAAGTTGGTAAAAGTGTAAGGAGAATCATGGAAGGTGATGAGAGTTTGGAGATTAATAAGAGAATGAAAGACTTGAGTGATGCTGCTGTTACTGTGCTAAGTGATCATGGTTCTTCTAGGAAAGCACTTTCTGCTCTAGCATTGAAATGGCATTGATATACATGTTGGATGGTCTGCAGAAATTGTTACTAATACTATCATTTTAATGTGTTGAATAATGTAATAGTTTTTTGTTTATAAATGGATTTGATGTTAAACATTTTCAGTGTTACTTTTTTTTTTTTTTTTTTTTGCATGAAATTAAATGCTAAGAAAATAAGAGATTTAGTGTCTAATCATAGTTAAAGGTAACATATTCACCTGAGCTCACAATCAGTTGAACAATAATCCATTAAAACAAGACAGGATATGTTCTTATTCTGCTAACAATCATCTTTTGAGGTATACTTTTTCTGACCACAATCTTATTCTTTTAATCTTGTAACTAACACCTTATGCACCTTATGCAGGTCTAACAGCTACCAGAAAAACAAAATCCAAAGTTTTGGTGTGGACTCGAGATGAATAAAATAAGGACATTGATACAGTCTCAAAAGTCATGGTTTCAAGATGTGTTAGTAACAAATGGGCTGAAGGATTGGAAGGACCGAATACACCTATATAGACCATGGCTTGCTGTCAGCAACCGATGAGAGATGACATTAGAAGAAAACATAATTTCATTTGAATATTGGTGAGATGAACCTCCCCTTAGATGATGTTTCTTGTCTAATCAATCAGTCTATCCGAGGTCGACTACTGGATCACTATAATTTAGAGATTTGAAGTATTAGACTTAATGGTTCAACATTTAAGAGTTGATTAGGTTGGAATCAATCTTGATAGAACAAAGTTCAATCACTTTTTTGATTGATCTAAGATTCTTGTTTTTTACAATTCATTCGAGTGATTCAACCTCAGTTTGATAGTAAGACGATTCCCTCACATAATGTGTGAGAGAGAGAGAGAGAGAGAGAGAGCAATATTTCTATCAATATTGAGTTTTTCTCTATCTATGTTGTGCTAATTACAAATGTAGGGTACCACCCTATTTATAATGAGACTGCTTGCACATCACGCAATCTTAAATTGACTGACTAACTTTTAACAAACTGTTATTCAATTCTGTCGAATACATGTTGCTTCGACTACGACTAGTTGTATTCGATTCTCTGTCGAATACATGCACCTTCGTTTACTATAAATTGTATTCGATCTTCTATCAAATACACATATTTAACTATTACAAACTATATTCGGCTACAAATCTAACGACTTCGTTCGAATTCAACTTTGTCGAATCCTGCATCTTACAAATATGCTTAACACAAAGAATTACATATTTAACACACAACCTAATTCATTGTGTCTAAACGATCTACATTTATCATAGTTCTCAATCTCTTGAACGATTTCACCTACACACAGTCTTTTTCATGATGTCTGCAATCTAATTCATAGTTATGCAGTGTTTCAAGTTCAGTTTCTCATTTGCTACTTGCTCTTTAGGATAATGGAACCTCATCTCAATGTGTTTGCTTATTCCATATCCTATCATATTTTTGGCCAAACTGATAATAAATGTGTTATCAATCTTCATGATCATTGCTTCATGATTTTCTCGTGCAATCTCTTCAATCACATTCACCACCCATGTTGCTTGACATGCACAAAGAGAGACAACTATATACTCAACTTCACATGATGACAGCACTACAACTAGCCATTTTCTTAGGCTCCAAGCAACAGGTGTACCATCTAGCATAAATACATAACCAATCATGGATTTTCTATCCTCAGCATCACCACTCCAACTTGAGTCAGTATAATCCACCAGTTTGCATTCCTTTCCTTCATCTATTGCAGAAAGCAAAATTCCATTGTCTAGCGTTCCTTTGAGATGCCTTAGTGTCCTCTTGATGGCTGCAAGATGAGACACCTTTGGCTTTTGCATGAACCTACTCACCATGCCTACAACTTATGCTAGATCAGACCTTGTGTGACAAAGATATCTTAATGATCAAATGAGTCTTCTATACTAAATTTGATCGACTTCATGAATTCCTTGCTCATGTCATATTTAAAGTCTTCGATCTCCTTGTTACAGCTTCTTGTTATCAACAAGTCATTTACATATAGACAAAGTATAAGCAGTTCACTCTTGCTTCTTCTAACATATACACCATACTCAGTTGTGTACTTTACAAACTACTTCTCCCTTAGAAAACCATCTATGTTCTTATTCCTAACTCTTGGAGCTTGTTTGAATCATTACAAGGCTTTAAGCTTCATGTATACTAGGCTTTCTTGGCTTTGCTTCACAAAATCGATTGGTTGTGCCACATATTTTTATTTATTTAAGGGGTCATTCAGAAATGTATATTTCACATCCATCTGACACATGTACTAATTTTTCATGTTTATTAGGCTAACAACCAACCCGATTGTTTTGATCCTACCAATTGGTGCAAAACCTTCATAAAAGTCGATTCCTTCTTCCTGAAGAAATCCTTTGGATGCAAGTCTTACTTTGTTTTTGGTTACCTCTCCTTTTGGATTCAGCTTTACTTCGTACACCCACTTCACATCAATTTCCTTCTTACCTTGTGGCAATTCGACTAGTGATCAAGTTTTTTTTTTTACTTTTATGTACTTCAGTTCCTCCATCATGACTTGCATCCACTTCGAGTTCTTTAATGCCTTAGTTACATTAATTGGCTCAATATCTGCATAAAAAACATAATGTACCAGTTCTTCTTTATCATTTACCACATCGTATGATGTGATCACACATTCTTGCAGCATTACAAGCATACTTCTTGTCCTTTAAGGTATGCTTATGCCTGCTCGAACCCTACCTTCTTCTAGTCAAATTCTACTGTCAACTTCACTAGCTGGTGCATCACATAAGACTCTCACTGAACCCTTGTTTAATTTTTCATTCCAATTCCACTCCTTCAGCTCATCTATGATCACATATATGGTGATCACAATTTTCTTGTTCAAGGGATCAAATAGTTTGTATCCACTAGTTGAGTGATATCCTATTAGGATCGTTTGTCTCGACTTGTCATCAAGTTTCCTTCACACTTGGCCTGACATATGTCTATGCGTTATGGACCAAAACACCTTTAGATGACTTAAGCTACGATTAACACCAGATTAACATTCCTTTGGTGTGATTCCATCTAGCTTCTTTGTTGGACATCTGTTCATGATGTATGTTGTAGCCGACACAACTTTACCTTATAACTCATTTGGTAGATGTTTGACCTTTAACATACTTCTTACCATATTCATGATGATCTTATTCTTCCTTTCAAAATTACCATTTTGTTGAGGAGTTTATGGTGGCACCGCCTCATGCATTATCCCTTCTCTTTCACATACTGCATCAAAGTTTTTTGAAACAAATTCTCCACCACCATCTGTTCTCAAGGTCTTAATCTTTTGGCCACTTTGTCTCTCCACCTATTATTTAAATTTTGTGAACACCTCAAGCACATCATTTTTCTTCTTGATTAGGTATGTCTAAAATTTTCCATTGAAATCATCTATGAATGTAACAAAGTACATGTTACCTCCAATTAAATCTACTTGAAAAGAACCACATACATCTGATCTGAGTATACGACCTCAAGAGTGGATTTATAATTAATTCTTGCATCTTTGCTGAAGTTGTTTTTGTGTTGCTTTCCCTGAACACATTCTTCACACAGTTCATTTGGAATATGGATTTCTGGTAGACTTGAAACCATGTTTCTTCTCTTCAGATTGCTGATGTCTTTGAAGTTAAGATGACCAAGTCTGTAGTTCCATAACCATTCATCCCTGTTAGTTGTAGTTTCCAAACACTTGTATTCCATCACATCAAGTTCAGTCTTGAAGGTTATGTTTTGAGACATAGGTACTTTCAAGATTAACTTGCCACTTGAGTCGAGTACTCTTATCTTCTTATCTTCTATCAACACTTTGTAATTCTTCTCAACTAGTTTCTCTATTCTGAGTAAATTTCTTTTCATGCATGGTATGTAAAATACATTGGAAATCACCAACCTTTAGCCATCTTTCCTTATGATCGAAACATCACCAATACCTTGAATAACTAGGGTATAGTCATTTGCAAATTTCACCTTGTTCTTCATAGAGGGACTGATGTTGACAAACCAATCTCTCCTTCCAGTCATGTGTGTGAGAAGCCCGAGTCTAAGTACCATTGATCCTTGAATCTTTCTTCTTCTATTATTGTGACAATCAGCAACACTTTTTCTTCCTCGTGTTTTGCAAGTCTTGCATCACTTTCTCGAATGTTTCTTTTGTTTTCAGGACAATCACTAGCTTAATGACCATGTTTCTGACAATTGAAGTACTAAATATGACTTTTTTTAAGGTTTTCTTCCACTACCTCTTCCTCTACCTGCACTATCACCTCTGTAACTTCTTTGGTTTATGGGTTGTCTCTGATTCGACGAATTTACTTCTTGTTGGTGACTTCTACCATTTGAACTGTTCTAACCTCCCATTCCTTTGTTATTGTTCCATCTTCCTTTGCCTTTCTTTTCTATTGTTCAATGTGCTTGGAGAGCTATATCACCTTTCGTCTTGCTTGCAGATCTTTCAACAGTTCTTTGTTCATGAGATTCAAATGTCCTTTGAGGCTCTTCTTTTGTGATGCTTGAAAGGTCCTTCAATTCTTCTATGGCTACAACCACGTGATCGAATTTTGGAAGTAATGACCTCAAGATCTTTGCAACTATCGATCTTGATGTCAACTCTTCTCCATATATCTTGATTTGATTCACCGGTCTTGTTACCCTAATAAAGAAAGCAACCACACTTTCACTTTCTTCCATCTAAAGCAACTCATACGTTATTTTGTGAGTTTGTAACATCACTTCTTTCACCTTCTCAGCACCTCCAAAAAGTTTCACCAGGATGTCTTAATCTTCAGTCAATGAGTCTACATCACCAATTTTCTCAAAGTTGTTTGGATCAACGCATTGATGAATTATAAAGAGAGCTTTATAATCTTTCTTCTTCAAATATTTATGTGTAGCTTTTTGTTCATCCATGACATTGTAGCCAATTGGTGTCGCTTCATTCTTCACAAGATCCCAAACGTCTTGATAGCAGAAGATAACCTTCATCTACTTACACCAATTATCATAATTCTTGTCATTCAAGATAAAAATATTTGCTGAAAAATACCCGTTTAGATAAGAATTCGTTGCTATATGTTTTCCAAGAATCGCAATCGGTGCTCTAGATTCTAGATGTTGGAATCGATCTTGATAGAATAAGATTCAATCACTTTCTTGATTGATTCAAGATTCTCATTCTTCACTCGAGTGATTCAACCACACCCTGGTTGTAAGACAATTCTCTCACGCAATAATTTGAGAAGAAAAATAATTTTGATGTAATAAGAGAGAGAGAGAGAGAGAGAGAGAGAGTATGAATTATTGAAGTGAAAGGAGGAAAGTTTTATTGAGTATCAGTTTTTCTATCAATATTGAGTTTCTCTCTATTTAAGTTGGACTAATTATAAATACAGGGTACCATCCTATTTATAATGATATTATTTGCACTTCACACAATCTCAAATCAACTAACACTGTTATTCAATTCTATCGAATACATGTTGGTTTGATTATGACTAGCTGTATTAGACTCTTTATCGAGTACATATATCTTCCTCTACTATAAGTTGTATTTGACATTCTATCGAATGCACGCAGATTCAACTATTATAAACTATATTCAATTACTACTCTAACAATTATGTTCGACTCTGACTCTACCAAATCCTGCATCTTACAAACATACTTAACACAAAAAATTGTATATTTGTTTGATAGATTTTAGTGAGGGCGAAACTGAAATTACTTATACTTGAGGATGTCAAGCAGGCTTAGAAGGCTAGAAGTTATACATAAACTATACAAGTATCGCTATTACTCATCACATGTTGATGCACTCAAAGAGTATATGAGACAATGTGTTGTTAAAATATATTTTCTTGTACTTGATTTACACAATAATTTTTGTGGATAAGACTATTGAATTATCTATTGTGATATAAGAAAATCAACATTCTAAAAAATTTCAATAATATTAATTCGACTAAAATATAATAGAGATTAATGTTAGAGAAATAATTTTTAAACCAAAATATTAGTCTTAATCTTAGTGTATTTTGCTAATTTGTTTTAATTATAACATAATAATTATAGCAATTAAGTTGTAATTGCGGTTGCTTATCTAGAATCAGACAAAAATAAGTACATGAATTGTGATTCACCCAATTATAAAATGGATGGACTCAATTCAATCACTTAATTAAATTTTTAAATAAGTACATAGTAATTCATTACTTTTTCTTACCCAAAAAAAGTGTTTTCTTTAATCCAAAACGATATATGATATTCATGATATCATAAGAGCAACACGATTATGCTACTGCTCTTATCTTCACCACTATCCTCTCCCTTACTCATGCAATCTCTTCCATGTAACTCTCTCTATCTTTCTCTCACACACTTTACTACCTGTCTGTGTTTCAATATGCAAAAATCTAGAAACTTTGATATCTCTGTTGTGAATTTTATGTGTTTTGTGTTTGTTTTTTATTTCAAAGTTTTAATTTTTGTTAATGGGTCATTGAGATTTAGATGTTTAGCTGTGATGCTATGTTTGAATTTTGATGTTAGAAGTTCCAACACCCCTTTTCCAAAAACAACAATAGAGTTGATTTTATGATGTTGTTATTGTTAGAATCTTCAAATTCTGCTGGTTGAAAGTAAAATTCAAGATATATAAGCTAGGTCTTTGAATTACTTTGCAGCTTACATTGTAGCTTTAATGTTAATGGTTTGAAAAAGTTACAACAAATTACAGATTTGAAGTTTTTGCAGACACTTTTAACCCAGAATAATAAGCTTTTTGAGTATGATTCATTTTCGCTGATAAATGGCGAAAAATAGCGTCTATCTCTTGGGTTTTGCCCTTTTGTTTGTTGGGATACTACTAGGAAAGTTGGGGTAGGCGAGGGGAAGTTCCCTGCACTACAATTTAGGGATAAACTTGTAAACTACGTCGTAATATTTGAACTTGTACTCTATATGACTATAACCTTTATTCGTTCTATTTATTAAAAAAAAGTTTACTTTTTACATTCATTGAATAATCAATGTATCTGATGTATTATATAGACCAGATACATTGATTATTCAATGAATCTAAAAAGTACTAATATTTTTCTTATAATACGACTAAAGGTAGTAGTAAACTACAACAGATGCTCTAGGCACAATTGGCTGAACTTCGTGTTCAATTATTGTGTTTTTGTGTTTATTTATCGGCTTACTTTAGAACCGAGTTTGCTATTCTAACAAAGCATTTCTTTTTTTGGCAGTGAAATTTCTTTGTGCTGTACAAGGACAAGGAGAATCAACTCATGGATGCACTAATAAAAACCAAAAGGATTACATGTAAGAGTGGCATTCTTTTTTTAAATGGATTATCAATTCATTTTACTTATCCTCCTGAGTGGCATATTTGTTTGTATGGATAGAGTGCAGGATAGTTCCACATTACATCCTGAGAATGTATTAAGGAGGAAATTTGTGCTTTCTGCTTTGGTCACGACTGTTGTTTTTCCAACTTTATCTTCTGATGCGAAGACGAAAAATATGAATCCGTATAATGAAAAACGTGTGTTACAACAAAATAAGAATATACAAAAACAGAACAATGTACCAGATGGCTTCCCAAATTTTATTAGAGAAGGTAATGTTCATTGTTTTTTCATACATGGTTAAGTTACTTTCTGAGTTCTGTCAGAAAAATTATGTTCTTTTTTTATTGAAATTTAGCCTAGAAAAGTTAGGAACCTAATGCAGGTATGGTATTCTGGTTTATTAATATAATTCAGGTTTTGAAGTTAAAGTGATAGCACCAGATGACTATATAAAACGTGATTCGGGGCTAATATACCGAGATTTTGAAGTTGGTACAGGTGATTGTCCAAAGGATGGTCAGCAGGTTTTTCTTTTATATTCTTTCCAACGCACTATTTCTTTCTTCTTAATTTTATTTTAATTGGTTTGGAGAATAAGTTCGCACAAATATTAAGCAGTGTGAGCACGAGAACTGGAATTGTCTCTATGTAGTATTTTGCAATGGGCTACTACTTTAAATAGCTTGAGTTTGTTGAGATGGGAGAAATTGGAAACTGATATTTTAATTGGAGAGAAGGTATAATTTTCTAAGATTTAGAGCAAGGAGTTAGATTGCTACAATAATCTTAGAATTTGGGTTGAGTCTAACTCAACCCTTACAAAACTAGTATATAAGGCGAGGACTGCTTTCACGTATATAAACTTATATTCAGGTTCGGTAATGGTGACCTGATAGCAATTGCTCCATTATATTTTCTATAGACTTTGATATCATCTTAGAATTTGAGTTGAGCCTAATTCTACCCTTACAAAACCGTCGTGTAAGGTGAAGACTGTCCTCACTTATAAACATATTCAGACCTTATCTTATTTAATGTGGAAATCTTTAAAAGTGTCTTGAACACTTTTGCTTTGGCATCTCTTTTTTCAATAAACTTTGTCATTGTATAAACATTTCAGGTTTGCATGTCTTGTGATTTGATTAATCGGAAGTGGCCAATTTTATAGCTTTGAAGCTATCTCAGAAATATAATTTTACCACTGAAAACGGCATGCAACTTTTACACACTACACTTTAAAACTTGATCTTGACACGCATATCATGCCTTGCAGGTCACATTTCACTATGTTGGCTATAATGAATCTGGCCGTCGTATTGACAGCACTTACTTGCAAGGTTCTCCTGCCAAAATCCGCATGGGTAACAAAGCATTGGTTCCAGGTAAATAAATAGATTTAGTATTATCAGTTCCCTTGTGGATTGTATGACATGAAGCATTCATTATTTGCCTGCTTTTATATCTTTCTTCACATTTTCTGTTGTAGGATTTGATACCTTTCTTCACATTTTCTGTTGTAGGATTTGAAGAAGGAATTAGAGACATGAAAGCTGGTGGAAAGAGAAGAATAATTATCCCCCCTGATCTTGGACCCCCGGTACACCCCTTACTTTCTTTCATCTCCATTCATTATTATGCGATAATGCTGTGATTCTTGATACTTTTGATAAACGTGACTGGTGCAGCATCAATTGCTTTTGTGGTGTAGTTGTTGAAATCACAAAACCCTTTACATTATTAGAAAGAATTGTGGTTGTGAACCGCAATTCCAAACCATGCATATAAGTGGCTAATAAACTCTGGCTAAGGACATCGTTCTGAATAACCCGCAATTGAATTCTGGCTAGAAAAATCTTTTGTAAGATTTTACTTACTTCGTGTCCAAACTTTAGATTACCAGAGTCTCCTTCCCCTAAAAATTGAGGTTAAGAGAGAAAAAAACATCAATCTTTAGCAAATTTTCTCAACAATAGCTCATAATTGTTACTAATAGTTTCCAAGTTACATTTATTATAATGTAAGTGCATTGAACTTCGTAAAGAAACACGATTACATTTCCGGAAAGAAAATATTCTTTGATTGATGTTTTGTATTGTGCAGGTAGGGCCTTCAACATTTTTCAGCTCAAAACAGTTTGAAGTTTTTGATGTTGAATTATTAAGCATACAAAACTGTGAAAGAAGAACAATAGGATTTTATTCTGATGTTGTATGCAATTGAGATAAGAATGTCATATGATGTATACAGACAGCACAAATATTTGCTAGGTACTAAATTATGATATTGTTGTGTAGCTATTGTCAAGGATTCTTTATTGTTTTGGATATGCATTATGAAAATACTTAGAAATTTTCATAGTTGAATCCTCTTATCTTCATTCCATTAGATGGTTCAGCAACAATAGCTTTGTAGAATGGGCATCAAACTGTAAATTTGAGAGTTTAGTTCTCCCTCATTCGTTGGTAGCAATTTTGAAAATGAGGTATGTGTACTAACTGTCAACTCAACATGAATATGTTTTTGAAACCAGTGTATGTGTACCCACCGCCAATGCAACATTAATAAGGAATTAAAATATTGTTGTTATTAAAGTTGTGATAAATGATAAAGTAAAATGTAGTAAATAACATTAAACAAAGTAAAAGAAAAAGTACATTATTTTGTTTAAGGAAGTTACAAGACTAAGAAAAAAGCGTGGACGTAGACGCATATATGTTTCTCGCTCAATTATTTCGTTCTTTGACTCGGGTATTTCAGTGGTATGGAGAGTATGTATGAAATTTTGTAATCCCTAATCCCATGTATGAGTCTGCTGTTTATTCTATTTATAAAGTAACTGTCGACGAAGGTTATGACCACGGAGGGACTAATACATTTGCTCCACGTTCAATCCTTCAAGTTTCCACCGGTGCAAGACACCATCTGCTTGCAATTCATGTTGAGTTCTTCCACTTTTTTACAATCCTTCAATAGCAACTACTCCATTGTGTCGTCGACGAGGCTTAAGACTTGTAAAAAGTCATTAAGTCTTTCATGCCACACTGTTTCGTCGACCGACCCCTTTTGATGGGACAGGGGCTTTTAAAGATTGTCCTTCTCGAGATTTTGGACATGTTTTTGTCGAACATCTTTTTCGAGATTTTGGACACATTTTCCAGTGGGCCGAGTCTTAGGGATTCATCCCCGAGAGTCCTTCAAGCCATGTCTCGCTGCGTCGGTCGACCCCTCGCTGTTGGTTTATCGACGCCTTATCACTAATACTTCTTTGAAGATACTTCATTAATGCTCATTGTAAATATCTTTTCAATGACATTCTTTGTTGACTTTCTAGTAGTTGAAAATCCAAGTGTAACATAAAGCAAACTAAGATGTTTCATAAGAAAGTTAAACAACTCACCATTATATGTGTGTTTAAGCTACTTCATTTGGATCTTATAAAATCTATGAAGATTAAGAGTCTTGTAGGAAAAAAATTATGTCTTTGTACTACAAGTACACATGAGTTGAATTTATTCGTGAGAAGTCTGATCCCTTTCTTGTTTTTGAAACTCTTTGCCATCGTCTATAACGAGAAAAAGGAAAACGGATTAGCAAGATCATTCACGTTCAAAGTGATCACGGAAGAGAATTTAAGAATTCAAATTTCTCTTCCTTTTGTACTACTGAAGGGATTACTCAAGAGTTTTTTGATCCCATCACACCTAAGTAGAATGACATTATCGAAAGAAAGATTCGAACCTTGCAAGAAATGGCTAGAGCTAAGGTTCATGCCAAGCACCTTCCATTTCATTTTTGGCCAGAAGAAATGAATATTGTTATCATATTCACAATCGAGTAACTATTTGGCCAGGTGTCAAGGTTAGCCATTATGAACTATAGAGAGGGAGGAAGTCAAATGTTAAAAATTTTCATGTATTTGATAGTATTTGCTATATTTTTGCTGATCTGAACAAAGAAAGGAAGCTTGATCCAAATAAAGATGAATGCATCTTTATGTGATTTTCCATTAATAGCAAGACATATCATGTGTTTAACAAACTTGGTAAATCCATAATGGAGTCCATCAATGTCATTTAAAAAAATGACGAACTTGAAGATAACAAGGCCCATAACAAAGGCCCAAGGGCAAACCTCAAGTAAAAAGGTAAAACAAGTAGGCATTTGCTTGACCAAAAAAAGACAATCCCACAATTAAGTGTATCAATCACAGTCCGATCCAATCAGACGGTTGTTTGCACAACAAGATGTTTCACATGGGAACAACTTTAACCACTCTTGATATATATAGGAACTCGTCATTTCAAATATACAAATTCATTCTCACTCATAAATTACTTTTGATTTCTCTCATTAATTTAGACATTAAATTGAAGTGTTAACCTTACATGTAAACATCCTCTTTACGACATTGAAAGTTTAAAATCCACCTTAAAAAGACACAACTTTGCTACCTCACCTTTCATTTCTAGCTTATAACCAAACAATAACTAATCTTTTTTTTTTATAAAGAACAAAATAATTTTCTTGGGCCTACCTGGGCCACGTTTGAACAAAGGGGCCAACATGGTTTTATTGGATGTTTTTGGCCATTTGTTTTGGCCATTCAATGGGGTGATCACTTCACTATAACAAATTCTTTTGTGATAACATTTATATGCATATATTTCATAAATTTGTGATAACATTTATATGCATATATTTCATAAGGTCATCCACTTTCTTATGTATGGCAGCCACATCATGTCTACAAAGAATCCTAACAAGATTTCAATAGTTGCATGAACATGGTTGTTTTTCTAAATCCACTATAAAATTATCAGTAAACAAAACATGTGTGACTTGAAAGGTTAATCTATCAGCATAAATTGATGTCCAACTGACACTTTTTTTAATCTCTCTATCTAACTTCCTTAATGGTTTTGTCATTATCTGCTCTTTATAGAATGTTTGAGTAGTATGTATTTTATATAGCAGCATTAAGTGAGTATTTTCTATAAACAAAAGTGAGTATTTTCTGATTTAAATAACTCAAAACTAAGTACAATTCAGTTTGAGAGCCCCAAATAAATTGTTCTGTTATAGTGACAAGAGATAAATTTGTAAAATAGCCCAAAACAAATGCTAAATTAGATGCGAAAATCTTGGTTTTCTTGTTCCTTCTCTGTCAAGTTTCCGTTATAGCTCTTGTCTCTTTCTCACTCACATTCACTCTCTTTACATCTTCCTCACCGTTTAAATCCTTAGTTTTCACCAGTTTCAGCGTCAGTAGTTTCAATTGTTTAATTTTGAAATTGTTTCTTCATTTTAATTTGTTCAAATCTGTTTATTGTTGAAGAATCTTCTAGTAGTTTTAGTAAACATATTGATTGATAATGTGGTTTCTGCATGATTTCTTAGCAGTGAAGGTTTTGCGTAATTTGTGAAAATGAGCTGGGATTTGGATATAAATACCGTATTCAAGAATATGGATGCTCCTGTTCTTGAACCATGGGAATCCGGCCGGATCAATGAAACGATACCACTTGATTGGCGCGATCCAAAAGAGGATGAAGATGTTGATATCATGACTTGCAATAACTCCGGCAAAGCTTTGATAGTGCCAGATCCAGTTGAAGAGAGTTCTGGCTCCTTTGGTGATACAGAACCAAATGCTGTTCATGCTTCCTGCGGTGATCCAGAAGTCCAATCGCGAATGTATGCTGACGTCGATTCATCATCAATGTGCGATGATTGGGATGAACCACTCCGACAAAGGTACATTTCAACTCAGAGATTCGACAAAGTTTTACGTTTGTTGTTGTTGCTGTTGGTTGATTTCAATTTGAATGGTTTATATGTTCGCAATTTTTTCTATTGATTTTACCATTCAGAAGGAAAAAGGTGACTGCTCATTGGAGAAGGTTCATAAGTCCTGTTATGTCACGCTGTAAGTGGATAGAGTTGAAACTGAAAAATCTTCAGTCTCAAGCGCGTAAATACGAAAAAGAGCTTGCGGAACTCGATCATGAAAAGCAAGTTGATTATGCACACATAAGATTAGATGGATGTGAAATCAAATCAGTACCTATTTCTGGTCGGAGGGGTAGGAATAATGTTATGAGGAGGAAAAAACAAGAAAGAGTCGAAAAGAATTGCGATTTAGCATCGCATATGTCTAACCATCCTTTATTCTCCTACATTGGTATGCCATTTCTTGTTCTTCTACTTTTCTGGTTTTGTTTATAACGTTCTTACTCTCACTTTTGTCATTTTCCAGAGAAAGCCAACCGTAACATCGATGATCGTTTGGAAGATTATGATGAATCTGCCATAGGTTAGTAGCAGTATATATATGATGCTGTTTCATGTTTTGAGTATAAGCACCTCTTTCATAAGCATGTTTTAGCGATTTCGTATTCGACATTTTGTTTTAATGATATCAGGTGGTGACTGTGGAAATATGTTGAAGTTCAAGTTGGAAGATGTAGGTAACTATGATAATGATAAGTCCTGGGATGGTATGATTCAAAAGGTTATAGCTATGGAGTCTCAACTTCAAAATTTGAAATCTAGACAAGAAAAGGTGATTAGTGAAAATCCAGAAAGGTTTTGTTCTGTAAATCAACCATCAGATGGAACTTCATCGTCACGCGGTGACAAGATTGTTCCCGATATTGAAGCCATTGATAGGCCTCGGGACAACGTAAGCTTTGTTTTTCCATAGTGTATTTTCTGATAGTTATTATGAGTTGATGCAATGATTGTTTAAATTTTGAACTAATAACGTTGGCGTGTTCTTATATGCAGATCGATGATGAAGATCTTACACCGTATCATCAGTCAGCCGAGATAGAATTGCATGAATTAGAAAATATTGGAAATCAAGTGATAAATCAACTTGAATCAATTAAGGAGAATGCTGTGCACAATGTCAATGTGCTTTCAACTTTGAAATCATGTTCTGCATTAAAATCGAATATCCCTAGAAACAAAAGGAAACAAAAGAATATATCCGGTGAAAAGAGGTCAAGGATGTCTGATTAAAGAAAATCTGATTCGAGTTTTGTTTCGCAAACACGTTGGAAATGGAAACGGCTTCGAGGGATTCTGCAAATGTTTGTCCATCAATTTTTTTCATCTCTTTAAAATGTTGGATATGACTTTGCATAATTACTATTTATATTGATTTATTCGATTTTATAGTCATTTTATTTTCTATATCAGAAATAATATGGTCACGTTAGTGTAAGGAGACAAGAATGACAGGAAACATTCACCCGTGACGCGAGTTTGATTGAATGAAAACGTATAAACAATTACATTCGTAATATTGAACAATCACAGTTGAGGATTAGTGATTCGATTACATAAGGATTGAAAATTAAATAGGATTCAATTTCTTCAATGTCATTCTTTTGGTAACTTTGACAGCAATGAGAGCCAAAATCGTAGCGGTTGGGACAAAGATAACATCAGGTATGGATTTCATGAGACTTAGCTGAGGCAAAGATTGTCCTGATCGTTTAGCTACCATAGCTGCTGGAGGTGCAACGATTCCGGTGATCATCATAGAATCATCGACTTTGCTGATATTTACATTCTTAATCATGAAATCAGTGAAAATTTTGTTCTTGTCTTCTTCCTCTGATTTATTCCATAATTTAAAAAATTCCTGTTATTTTTTTTTTGTTGCAAACAAATTAGTTTAGGGAAGGTGCAGCAAAAAATTTTAAAATAAAGTAAAAGTGATTAAAGAAATAGTTAATTAATTAACCTCAATTTCCTCGTTCGATGGTGCGTCATAATGCTTACCAGGCAAGGCCATGTTGATATTGCTATGAAGAAAAGAAAAGAAAAATAAATTAGTTATAAAGTATGAACAAAATTGATATCAAGTGTTTTACATTTAATTAAAATATTCCTTAACTTTTTAAAATCTTTGACAAGTAAAATGATTATAATTTCCATTGAAATGACATACTTACTTGAAGATATCAAGAATGGCAGTGTGGAAGGAATCAAAGTTTTTGATATCTTTCTTCATAAATTGATCATAGAGTGCTCCAGATACAAGACTTAAAGTTTGGGAGGCTATTCCCTCACCTAAGATATATCACAAATTATTAAGCTAAGTCAAAACCATTAATAACATCCGAATCATAAGACACCGAATACGATATTGACACAAACATTCCGACACTAATAATAATATAAAAAGATTAAATTTAGTCAGAACTAGAAGTATCAATATTATGTTAGTATCTAACAAACGTCAGATATCTAATATCATATTGGTGCCTAACAAACGTCAGATATCTAACAAAGTCTCGATTCTATATAGATGATAATAAGCAAACAAAATAAAACAAAATTTAGCAATTAAAGGTAGAAAATGAAAGAGCATGATACCTGTTCCTCCCATGTAACTCATGACCATCCCCATAATGTTTATGTATTTTTTGTGAATGAATGATTGACTACAAACTATCAGATGACAAATGCATATATTTGTACATTGCAAGGCACAATGTGGGCCAAAAAAGTGAGTATATTTGTTTCTTTGGTGAAAGTAAAGTATTCTTGTTCATAATTTAAGTAATATAATTTTTCTTTTCTTATTCATATCTTAGATTCTTGGCTTGGAAACAACACGTGGCCTAAAGATTCTATATAAAATATAATGTTCATATTTTTTTCGCAAATCTTATAAGCCAAGCCCATTTTAGAGAAAAACAATCGAATATGGGTCTCTACTGTGACAGACTACTATTCTACCACTAAATTGTCTGTGTTTTGGTGGTTAATTCTAAGTTAATTTTGAAATAATTAAAGTCTTGGTTAAAATCTCTAAATTAAAAAACAGACTAATTCTATCTTAGAAGAAAACTTTTTTTTATAATAAAATAAAAAAAGATGGTTAACATCATTTATCCAATTAAGTTATACATACATATATGTATGCTTTCATTTATTTTTGTTCATTAATAAGAAGTATTGTAGAGTTCTTGTAATGTGCCAATAACATTATATATAATTTTAGGGTTGGTATAATGGTTTAGATCTTAGGAGGAGAGATTTTTTGGTGCGGCTTAGGCGGTTTTGACTATAAAAATTATTTAAATTGTAATAGAAAAAACATGTAGTTTGATTTGCTTTGATTGAGTTTTAGAAATAAAATCGAACTGAAACAAATCAAATCAATGTGGCTTGAGTTGGTTCGGTTGGTTTATTTTCTTACAAGATTTTTATTGAGTCATACATATATCTATAGAGAACAACATAATTTTGTGTTTAGTCATTCAAACATTACTAAATAACATCAAAACTCATCATATTTAAACAAAAACTTCTCATTCAATAAACATCAGATTAAACAAAAGTGAAATAAAAAACATAAAATATTAGCATAAAACAATATCAAAGACATTATAATAAAACATAAAAACAGATGAGAGGAGAAATCAGAGAAGATGAAAAAGAAAGAATAGAAGAGATGCGAAATTAGAGAAGAAATGTGCGATAAAAACGTAATTGAAACAGAAATCAGCAACACAAAAACGAGAAGATAAAAAATAAAGAATATAAGAGAGGAGAGAATAGAGAAAAAAAGTGAGACATACATGACAAAGAAGATGAGAAGAATGTGCAATACTACTAAAATATATTTGAGAAGGTTGAAACTGAAACCTAAATGTGAGTAAAAGAAAATCTTTTGTAATTCTAAGGTTAAGACATAATAGGTTTGCATTTTAGGTTGAATGTGAGATAAGTAAAATTTGGGTTGTAACATAATGCAGTTTGGTTTGATTTAGTTTAATTTGTCAAATACAAACTACAAACCAAATCGAATAGTGTGCTTTTGTTAATAAATGACAAACGCATTCAAAACAAATGCGGTTTTTTGCGATTTCTATTTAGTTTGGTTTGATTTGTAGTTTTCTATTAAATTGATTTGATTTTGAACACATTTATTTAGGAGTATGTTTCTCTTAAAATATATCACAAGTTTGATTTTTATAAAATGCAAATAATTTTTGTATATTATATATATATATATATATATATATATATATATATATATATATATATATATATATATATATATATATATATATATATATATATATATATATATATATATATATATATATATATATATATATATATATATATATATATACGATTAAACAGAGCCTCACAGGTGGACCGTGAGATTGACCTCTTTGAATTAATTGATCGCAAATCCGTATATCAAAATTTCAGAATAAATAAATATTTTTTTTTTGATATAAGAGAATATTATTATTTAATTATTTTAAAAAAAATAGCTTTAGATTATTCTCAAAAGATAAATAGTTATAATAGCAATATGCCTGTTTTCTCAAGTAGTGGAAAAATATCATTAAAACTTGCTTTATTATTTTAAATTTTTTCAAGCTTACTACCGTACTCTTAAATTTGAAAATTACTTATAAAAACTAAAATGGCTAATTTCACCCCTCTAAAGCCATTTTGCTCAAAATCCAATTGATTGTTACAAAATCAATATATTTGATCTCTATTTGAAAGCTGAAATTGTTTCACATCATAGGAAGAAGTATTACAATATTATTATGAATTTCTTGAAACTTTTCTTAGTTGCTTTAGCTCCAGTTTTGAACACTTTGTTCATTGCTGTTATTGGGGCTGTTCTTGCACTTGACAACATTGGAATACTAAAAAAGAATACTAAAAAGCACCTTAATATTGTAAGTTTTGAAATTAGATATTGTTTTCTTTCTAATTTTTGCTAGTAATTCATTTTTTCTATTGATGAACTTAATACATAATTTTTTTTTATTAATTGTTTCCAACACTTATTTTTGTTTTACAGATTGTATATTTTGTCTTCACTCCAGCTCTTCTTTATAGCAGCCTTGCTAAAACTATAACTTTGAGGAGCTTGGTAATGCTGTAAGTTTGTACTTATTTATTTTAATTTCCATTTTATACATATTCTTGGGTTTAATTTCCATGCACGAGAAAATATTAGATTTATAATAGAGGTAATTTGTATAACTAATGTCGTAAGATTTATGGTGGAGATATAGCGTCCCCCTCTCTTGTGGTCTTGAAGCATATGATTCATTGTTTCTCTCGACTTTTCCAAACTCTATCACAAGTCATTTCAAAGCCTTGGTTCGTCTTGATGGAGGAGCGGAAATTGAATCTATTTATAGGATGGGAGAATTATACTTGTGGAGAAAATTGTTGGATTCAAATATGAATAGTTAAGTCTCACATCCTCTATAAGTAAGTAGAGTTGTGAGTTTATAAGAGAGGTGATTAATATAACTATTCTTAAGATTCTGAAAGGACATGTGATGTCTTCCTATCTTGTAGTTCGAAACCATTAGTCTTGTTGCAACATTATTTGATCTTCAACGTCAAAAAAGAATAATGGTGTCGCCAAAGTGTTGTTTTGGAAACTTTCTGGCTAGAAAAGACTTGATACTTAAGTGTGTCTGTTGTGACTCTACCTCTCTTTCTTGAGAATCTCTATGAAAACCGTTTATAGTATGGTTACTTCAATCACAAGTTCTGCTATGAAATTTAGGCTAGAGAAAACTAATTGAAGAATAATTTTTGTCTTTTGAAAATTTTAAGAAAAGGGTGTGTTGATACAATTAAGATTGTACAAAGTGTTAATTAGTACATAATCATTTATTGTCTTTGATGCAAGTTGTTTTGTGAGATTATGTTGGTGGTTGAAGAACTTCCTTCCAACATAAAAATTACATCATAACAAAATTTTAAGGTGATAGGAGTGTAGATTCACTCACTTATAAATGCTCCACACTACTCACTCACAGTTGTAATTCTTCTTAACAATCTCCATCAAGTGTGAGTCCACAATACTCCCCCTCAAATGGAAACACTTTTATGCACATACACTTGTACTGCCGTTGACACTTTTCAATGAGCCACCTCCTACTCACTAAATTTTTTTTATACAAGTAAGTCGGTCCCTTCACTCGAACCAAATGCTCATAATACTATTGTTGGTGCTATAATTCAGGGTGTTAACACAAGGAAACATTGAAGACTTTTTTTTTAATGAGCAACATACATTTGTGAGAGACACGTCACATACTCATCAAAAACCTTAAAGTGTGTGAGTTCTCCCACTTATAAATGTTCAAGTCTCTACATTTCTAATTAATGTGAGACTTTCTCACACTACTCACACTTGTAATTCTTTTTTAACAAGATCAACAAAAAAAGAAAAAAAAAAGTCAAATACAAAAGTATAGTTAGGAAATAGAAATTAGACTAAAGAAATTGGACTAAAGATAATTGAGAAGTATTAAAAGTAAAATAAAACTCATAGAAAAATAACATTTTTACTAAGTTATAATTAATGATAGTAAATAATATAAGATATGCTTTTTTTACAACCAAGAAATACTACCTTTCTAGATCTATGAGCATGCAATTTGAGATGAATGAAAACATACGGTTGGTTATGAAAATTTTCATAAGGTGGAATTTGTTTAGAGGAGAGGTTTGGGAATCCTACTTATGAGATGCATATAATGTTAAATGACAAATTTCTTAAAAATTTAAGAATATTGACTTGAAATGGTTTTGTCCACATTCAAGAAGTATTTATGATTGCACTAATAAATGTCATTATGTTAAGAGCGTTGGTGAATGATATTCTCACTGGTTAGATGCTTTGGAGTTTCATTTTTAATTTTCATCAAAATGACCCAAGTAATTGTTTTAAAAGACACAATTTTAAAATTTAATTCAAACCTAGATATATATTATTTCCATTTAATTGGTTTTACACACATGGAAGAGGTGCTTATTTGTTTAATGAATTATGTAGGTGGTTCATGCCATTAAATATTCTTCTAAGATATATTATTGGGACAACTCTTGCATGGGTTCTTGCAAAAATAACTAGAGTTCCCCCTCATCTTCATGGCCTTGTAATGGGCTGTTGTGCTGCAGGCAGGTTTATCTACACATTCATATTATTTTTTCTTTCATGATCTCTATTAACATGACAAATATTTATTTTTAAAAAAAGATATCAATCACTTTTAAAAATTATCAAAATTTAAAAGTCGGTTTTATATCAATGTATGTAGGAAATCTTGGATCGTTACCTCTGATCATAGTTCCAGCTATTTGTAAAGGAAGAAGTCACCCTTTCGGAGATGTGAATGTTTGTTACCGTAAAGGACTAGCGTATACTTCCCTAACAATGGCGGTGTGTCACACTAATTCAAATTCTTTCAAATTTAAAACTACATAGGTATAATAGAGTTAATATTATAAAGTATTAAAAAGAAAAAACTTATATTTTTAATATTTTTCATATTTTGCAGGTAGGGCACATTTACGCTTGGTCTATAGTGTACAACATTCTTCGCATATATTCACCTAAGACCAATATTATCAAATTTAATGATTCTAAAATAAATATAGAAGTTAATAATCTAGAAAATATAGCAAAATGTTCCACAAGAACATTGACACCGATTGAGGAAAAATCAATGTCTAATGGTTACATTGATCAACCTGAGATAGAATGCAAAGTGATTGATGGAGAAGAAAAGGTTGGTATATATGCTTTTTTGTATATTGCTGAAATGATAATATGAATTGAATGCACATGAAACTTTTTCATGTTTTAATATTAAAAATTGAATTATTTAATAGAGATGATGCTTACTATTTTCCACGGATTCACAGGTACAAGAAAAATTGAAGAATATGAAGCCACTAAAAATATTATTAAGTGACAAGATCAATTTGAAAGAACTATTTGCACCTGCATTATGGGGAGCGGTATTATTTTTTTAGTACTTTTCTAATCATTCTAATTCATCCATTAATATATATATATTTATTTAAAATATTAATGCAGATATTTGGAGTAATAGTTGGTATAGTTCCTCAATTACGAAAAGTACTAGTTGGTGAACATGCTCCTCTCTGTTTTGTTCAAACCTCTGCAATCATGTTAGGGTGAGAATCATATAGTACTTATAATATTACATTGGAGTTTAGTATTCATATATTAAAATATAGTTATTTTAATATATTGTAAATTATTTTCTTTTACCATTTTTTAAATATTTATTTTAGGGATGCATGCATTCCATCAATGATCTTGTTAGTTGGTGCAAATCTTTTAAAGGGTAATTAATTAATGTTTTTTTTCAACCCTGTCTTTGTTTCCCTCTATATAGACATGTACTATTATTTTTACATTTCAGGTTTAAAGGGATTAGGAAAGAAGATTCCAGTTGTGGTTAGCATAATTGTGGTGATATATATTGCATTACCAACAATAGGTATATGCATTGTGAAAGGTGCAGTTCATTTCAACTTGATAACCTCTGATCCATTATATCAATTTGTTTTACTACTTCACTACGCTGTTCCTCCTGCAGTATCCGCAAGTAAGTTGTTTAACCAAAATTAATTTTATAAAATGAAAAGTTGGAAAGATACATAAGTTTATGAATGTGTTAGGTACCATGACTCAATTGCTTGGAGTTGGTCAAAGTGAATGCTCACTTATTATGTTTGTGACTTATTCGTCAGCTCCGATTTTGCTTACCCTTTGGTGCACAGTCTTCATGTGGCTTGTGTTGTAAACTATAGAGTATCTAAACTAACACTTAAGTAAAAGTTGTATAATGAATTTATCCACATACAAGTGTGGGGTGTTAATTTGAAATATCTTAAGACCAATAATAGAGACTATCAACTATAATTAAATGACAATAGATTTTTTTTCTTTTATTTAGAGTAATTATACAACATGTCTGCTATTATGCTATTATCTACCTTACACTTAAATATAGTATAAAATAATTTTACACTGTCATATCTCAATTTCTCATATAAAATTTATAAAAGAAAATTCATTATTCAAGGTCACTAATCAAATATTTAACTACAATAATTACTTTTTTTTACCAAACACTTTTGTTATTTTACATACTTTAATAAATAAATAAATAAATAAAAATTAATGAAGAATAAATGTAGAGAAAAATAATAATAATAATTAAAAAAAGTAATGATATGATCAACATTTTATAATTATGTCAATAGAGACTTATATATTGATACTTTAAGGGTAATTTCTAATAATTTATTGATTTCATGTAATAAGTTAAACCAACTTTTCATTAATATTATAAAAAAAATCTTTCAAACATTTTTTACAACAAAACAATCTCATTAAAGACAAAAAAAAAGTCAGATTAAAAGTGAACCTAAATCACCATTAACACAATCTAACTCAGTCAAATGAGATTGATTACATGTGGGCCTGTATTCCATTAGAACAACCCTGATCATTATCTTTATCACTTTTTTCTATCATAAACCCTAGGCAAAAGATGTGCGCTTCAATTTTACTCCTGGGAATGTGCTTTAACCTTATCTCTTGAAACCCAAAAGTTAATTTTTACTTTTGCATGCCATACCAGTTTTGGTAACACATTCATACCATTGTTCATCAACTACATCAGCTCTCTGTTATCTGATTCAAACATCATTCGTTTAAATCATTTTTGAATCACTTGTTCCATTCATACCTTCAATGTCATGGCTTCCGCTTCAAATAGATATAACATTTAATAAGATTGTTCTAGCTTTGTGATGATTTCTGAACTCCTTCTTCTGCGCTTCAGTCATAGATTTTCTATCAATTTTCTTGCCATGCCCATCAGTGAGGTGAACATAACCATCAATGACTAAATCCCATAGATCAGCATCATAACCAAGGAAGAAACTCTCTATTCTGTCCTTCCAATAGTCAAACTTCTCCCCATCAAACATAGGGGGTTTTGTGTTGATTCTATCCCTTTCTTCATATCTGTTGTTGCTGTTGGATGTTGAAGCTTCAACCATAATATCAACCAAAGAATATCAAAAGTTTTTTTTTACTGGATCTTTTCTGTTCACGGTGAAGTGATAACACACACAGAACCGGAGCTCTGATGCCAAGTGAAGGTGAGAAAATACTTAGAAAGGGGGTTGAATAAGGATTTAGAAAATATTATGGCAATAAAAACACAAACATTTTTATCCTGGTTCGTTGAACTCAACTACTCTAGTCCACCCTATCAAAAGTGATTTGCCTTTCTCCACAAGGACTTAATCCACTATAATCAAACTGATTACAATAACAACCACTAAGAACAATTGTTCTTAGTCTTCTCAAGAACTACTGACCACAACTTGGTCTTCTTAAGGAACTTTTACAATCAAATGTAAACTAAACAAGTGTTTGAAATGCTTCTAAGAAAGCTATATAACAACTGTGGTTTACACTTAAGTTTAAGAACTTATAAAAACTATTTAGCAAAGAATAATAATTTGTATGAGAGCTTAGAGAGAGTTTTCAATGAATTGTTCAATTTTTGTCAATATTCGTCAACTGAAGAAAGTTGTTGAAGACTTGCTTTTATAGACTTAGAAATCCAAGACGTTGCAAGCTTGAAGACCGTGTACTGCAAAGTAGCTGTAGCCTTTTGTCTTCACATCACTGGACCTTTCCTAGAAGTAGAACGTTCAGAGAAATCCTTTTTGCCTGTGTTCTTGTGTCTAACATAAAAGAGGAAAGAGTCGTTTGGCATGACCAACGGATATAACTTTGAATTCTTCTTCAACAAGTTTCTATTTCACAGCAATCTACATCAGAGCCTTGACTGATCAGAGTCTTTGATGTTCTTCAGAGTTTTGCTGTATCAGAGTGTTGCAGCATGTGTGCTTCAGCGTGAGTAATAATCAGAGCAGAGTTTAGAGATCAGATCCTCAGTACTTGCAGTGAACAGTATTATCAGAGTCTTCTGAAAAACAGTGCTTGAAACTCTTCATACAAAAAAAATTCTAGTCTACGCTTCAGATGCTTCTGTAGCTTCTACTTCAGATCCTTATGTAGGCAGCGCTCAGAGTCTTTTGTAGGCAGTGCTCAGAGTCTTCTAAGAGATGCTTTTGACGCTTTAGAGCCTTGCGTAGTTCAACGTTCAGATCCATTTTTTCTTTCAGAGGAATATTAAAATTAATATCTGCAACAAAAATACTTGAACAAATTTAGAGTATATAATTTCTTAATACAAAATTTCATAAGTGTTATCACAAAAACATAGAGATATAACTAAGAACCAATCTGTGTTCTAACAATAAGGTTAATGGTCATAAAAGGGCATGTAAAAAGCAAGGGAAAAATAGTAAACAAAACAAATGATTAAGAGTCTTGCCTAAGGGACTCGATTTTTTAAGTCTCGTCTGAGGGACTTAACTTTCTAAGCCTCACCAGAGGGACTCGACTTTCTAAGTCTCGTCTGAGGGACTTAACTTTCTAAGTCTCCCTTAGAAATAAATTACCCTCTGTCTGGGTTATCTCACTTCACCATTTCCAAGGCCCCGTGCTTGAAGGATGATGGAAAAGGATAATTTTACTAGACCTTTTTAGGACATTCCATGATAAAGTTATCCAAACCAAGTGCATCAATATTGGCGAGCTCCCGAAGTAAGCATGGTTTTCCAACTCGAACATATTATCACTTTTCCATCTCAACTTGTATGTGTCATGAAAGATGGAGGAAAAGACTAACAATCTTGATCGGATCATGGAGAAGAAACCACTTCTCTGAGGAAGAAGGAAACTGCTTCTCCATAATGCCATGTATTCCTTAAAAAGGGAAAGTGCTAGTTATTCGACTGAATTCGACCCATAAAAACTCTTATAAATATCTCAATCTCAGAATTGGAAGGGATCATTCACTAGTTCCACAAAATCCAACATACAAAGTCTCTCGCAATCCCTACAGGAGGAGACTCTCTTTCACTATTGTACTTTTAACAAATACTATTTGTATATCCGATTGATTTGAGCACCCTGCCTTCCTTCATTCCTCTATCTTACATGAATACAATTTAAATTTTAACTAGATAAAATTTGTTAGAGTTTTCATCATGACATTACTTTTTAACTTTGATCATGCGTCAGCTATTGTTGCTTATTCATTCACCAAACACACAATATCCCTATCAAATTATAAGATGATGACAACTTGTGCTTTAATATCTAAATGTTCTTAATTCTCTTCCTTCGTATCCACATGTTTTTGTTATTCTTTCCGCTAACATCTTGTGCAATTTGTGATACAAACAAATTTTACGTATGCATCATCTAATTAAAAAATAATTATATTTTCATTAAACTTTTTAATTTTATACTTGCCGATCTTAGCGATTCCACTAGAAGAAGCCATTGAATTTAGTAACAAAACATAAAATTTCTAAATTTTAATGATAACTCTAATAACGTCAACTTAGACTATACTCATAAGTCTCATAAACAACCAGAATGTAACTCCTAGATCACGGTGAAATGCAATATTAAGAGTTTAAAGAATATGCAATAACATTTAAACTATTTTGCATATCAAATTTAACAGGATTGCTATGTTGACACTCATTTCTACACCCTACACCTCAATTACTGTTCACAAATACTTGAACAAATTTCACAGAACATGGTTAATAGTGTGTATTTTATTGGTTAATGAAGTAGTGAAAGTTGTTAATAAATTATAGGTAAAATAATTGGCTAATAATGTAGATTTTTGTGGTTAATGCAACTGTGAAGTTGGTTAATGCGCAATCTTATATTTGTGTTATAAAATAAATTTTAAAAATAAATATTTTTTTTTTTTAAAATTAATATTTAAAAAAAAATATATTATTTTAATAAAAAAATACTGTTCACCGTATAAATACGGTGAATAGTGCATACGGTGTAACTATTGGGTGTAGAAAAGGGTGTAGGAATAGCATTTTTCCAAATTTAATTATCATCTAGTGTGAAAAAGTTTTAGAAATTGATATATCAAAGTGAAATATATTAAAATATGATTGGATACTTATCTAAAAAGTCTTTAAACTCGTTTCATATGAGATTTTGATAAAACTTTTATGAGTCTAATGACTATCAAACCTAATCTAATTTTTTTTTTTAAAAAGGAAAAGTTGAGCATAATTGTTACAGTATAAAATAATTACAGTACTAGCCACATAAAAAAAGTGCTCCAAAGTGTAAGTGAAAATGCAGCACAAGAATAAGTTGCCAACATGATAACTGAGCATTCACCTTCACTAACTCCAAATAATTGAGTAATTGTACCTACAACATTATAGTAAAATAACCTTATGTAAAAATAATATTTCATAAAAAAAATATTATTAAGTTTCTTAAAAATAACTTACTCATGGATACTGCTGGTGGAAGTGCAAATTGAAGCAGCAAAAGAAATTGATACAATGGATCAGGATGGATCAATCCAAAATGAATAGCACCTTTAACAATTCCAATACCTATTCCTGGCAATGCTATGAATCTAACCACAATAATTCCAACAATAATTGGAAATTGTTTTCCTAATCCTTTTAAACCTGAAAAAATAAGATTTTTTTCATCACATTTATTTTTATAAAAAAAATATTAATTTACTAAGTTTTGACAATTTTATTTATTTATTTACTTACCTTTTATAAGATTTGCTCCAACCAACAAGGTCATTGCAGGAATTCCTGCATCCCTATAAATATATATTTTTTAAATTATAATTTTATTATA